GGTGGTTTGGAACATTTTTTTTTTATAATGACTTATACTTAGGGAATTATAACGGGGTTGAATAATCATCCCAACTGAATATTATTGTTTTTTTAAACTTGGCTATATTATTTTATTTTTCCATATATTGGGAATTTCATCATCCCAACTGGCGAACTCATATTTTTCAGAGGGGTAGGTATAGCACCAACCAGATCATCATGGGACTTCATCATTAACATAAATTTAAAAAATAATCAAAAAATACTGGGAATATTGGGATACAGCGGAAGCTGGGATATACAACCAACTATATAGTAAAATATGTAGAATAATGTAAAAGTTGGATTATCTACCTATATTTGGGTATGGTCATTCATCCATTAATGGGGGTTTAAATGGATCTATATGGGGCATGGTCATCCAACCCATGATAGACATCCTTCTGGTGGGTAGATAAATCCATACAGCATGTTTTGACCATGGCTCATATATCGTAGGTTTGATCCCAATTTGATGGTCCAAAAATTGGTGGTCAACTAGAAATCTGTGTGGATTTGATAAGGAACCAGTAAAAATGTGGATTTTATCATTGAGGGATTGCTTCAACAAACATTGTGATCTGGATTTGCCCAAAAAGAGGAGGTATCAAACCACCAACCAGAATATATTGTTATTCCAATTATTAGCCATTATTAACCATTATTAACCATAGATTAACCATAGATTAACCATCCCAATGGTTCAAAAGCGGAGTTTTTTGACTTCAATTTGTCGCACTAACGGGGGATTTTTAAGCCTCAAGTTACTTGGGATCTGAGTTGTCGAACGGCTTGGGCTTGGCTATGTGAAAAGTGAAGTTAAGACCATATATAAGGCCTATATAAGGGCTATGTAAGGGGATATCACCCCAAAATATTGCCAAAAATATGGTACAGTACCTCCATTTTAGGATCCTGAAATTCCAATTTTTAGATTGCGATCTTGTGATCCGTTTTGGTCAACCATTTTGATATCGTGGGGGATCACTTTTTTTTGAGGATGGGTCGTTTCACCTATTGTTACCATATGAACGTTGTTTTGAACGAGGGGGAATCTACATCCATTTGCCAGTTATGACTTACTGGTGCTAAACGTAGGGAATGGATGGGTTGCTGGGGGTTGCTGGGATGATTATTACTAGTGATGAAATGGATCATTCCCGAAAAATTCCCTGCGTTTAGCACCAGTAAGCTTAGGGTAGAGTGCCATGGAATTTTCTGGATAGTTCCATTCCATTCCTGCAGGAAACCCCTATATTTGGGCATGAAATTTACAAGGTGGGGCTGCCTGGTGCCATGGTTTATAACCACTATAAACATTTACCCTCTGGTAAACATACAAAAAGCTTTTGAAAATGGCCCATTGAAATGGTGGATTTGCCCATTGAACATGGTGATTTTCCCATCAGTTTTTTGTATGTTTACCAGAGGGTAAAAACCATAGTTAAGCTAAGCTAGTTATAGACCAACTTAGCTATCTAAAGGCACCACCTTGTACCTCATTTCATCCCATCCGTTCATCACCATTTTCCCTATTGAAAGAATCGCCGTTTGTGCCATGGTCAATGGTCAACAATTGGATGCTTGGTACCCATACTGAGTAAAATCTTTCCATACATAGTATTGGAGGGCAGATCATAAATAGTTGAGCAATACTATCCATTGATAGGGTACTTCTATAATTGTTATATTACTGTATTTGATAGAACCCCCAACAATATTCTGGTTGGTGGTTTGGAACATTTTTTATTTTCCATTTCATATATGGGATGTCATCCTTCCCATTGACGAACTCCATCATTTTTCAAGATGATTTTTAAACCACCAACTAGATTATTATTAACCATCATTAACCATATAATAACCATACATTAACCATATACTAACCATCATTAACCATGTGTTTCCATATTATTTTAAGGTTTCTTCTGCAAACACGATGCCCAGGTACCCGAGCAGGTGGGAGTTTACGATGGGACAGGAGGGATGACTGTGCAGGATAGCTGCGACTTTTTCTACTTGGTCATCCCAGGTAGCAAGTGGTTGACAACCCAGAGAGAAAAGATATATACCATGTGGGCCCCCCCAGTTATCAGTTGGTTTATAAACCCCTTTAACTCTAGTTACTTGCGTATCATAAGCAATAGTTATTGGAGTTATGTGCACCAACTTAGCTATAGGGGGGCCCACATTGTGCGCTTGTAGTACGTTATGCTACATTTGGATGAAATATCACGACCTCGTTGTGAAGTCATGGGCCGACTGGTTACGATTCGGGAAAGCATCTCCAAATGTCCGTATGATAACCGCTATTTTCAGGTTAGTTAATTATAATTAATCCTGAAATATATAACTATTATCAGGTTATATGGTTATGATGATTATAATGATAATTATAGTGATAATTATAATGATATTAATGATATTATAATGATATTATATGATATTATAATGATAATCCAGATACAAGCCTAAGAAAAATCCTTATCCTATCAATTTAGGTGATTACACTAACCATTTTTGATTTTCAAAATTACAAAATTCTGCAGTAACCATCCCAAGGGGTATACCCAATGAACCCCAGCCATCGTGATGGTTCAGGACGGCTTTGGTTTACTCATTGAGCATTAAATAAATGGATGTGGGTCAAAATGGAAGACCTAGGGGACCACAGATGTTAGTCTAGTTTAGTATTAACCATCCAATTATTGGGGTACCTAATTTTGACCCATACCCAAATAACAGTGTCTTCAATTTCCCATGAATATGTCCATTTGATGGTTAAAATATGTTAAAATACCACAATATCCGCATTCACAATGGTCGTTCTTGCATTGGGCTATATACAGTATCCCATGATTATCCCACAAGTTCCGATAATTTTCCATGGCGATCCCATCATTGACATATCTCTTTTTTCATTCTCCAATCATTGTCCCATAATTTCATATGGTTTATCCATAATATAATCCATATTATCCCATATTATTGTATCCCATATTGTCCTAATATTTCATCATATCTATTTGTAGTCTATAATCGGACATACGGTGTGGATGGTTGCGAAATCCTGCACCACCTGGGATGGTAGAACACCTATAAACAATGGGATAAACCACTTATTAACTGGTGCAGGATTTCTTCCATCCACAGTACCCTCTGGTAAACTAACATAACTATGGATGGTTGATAGATGGTTTATCCCAGTATTTATAGGGTTTCAACCATCCAAGGTGGTGCAGGATTTCTTCCATCATCTTCTATTTCATATGGTTTATCCACCTATAAATAATGGCAGAAACCCTATAAACAATTGGGATAAACTTATAAACCACCTATTAACTGGTGATTCGGATTTCGCCACCATCCACAGTATCACCAAACCCCAAGTTCAGACCCAGCTCCTCCGGTCTCGTCGCGATAGGTGATTTCGATGTCGCACTTTCTGCCGCAGCCCTTCTTATTACCTGAGAAGCGCCTGCGTCTGCAGACTTGCAAATCCGGGGGACTAGTGGGAATACACTAACAAGAAATTGTTTACATATATGGAGATCTAATGGGTTAATATATTTCCATGAAAGTTTCTGCTAACTCCCATCAAATTAATTGGATATGGGGATCTGGGATATTCAAAACATGTTAATCTCAACAAAAAGTGCAGTTTTTTTAGATCGAACAAATGATGACAATCCAAGCAAGAAGTGGTTTGTAAAGCATATAGAATGGGCTAGCGCCCGGGTGCCGCCGACCCCCTAGCCAAGGACATGAAAAGGATCAGAATCATATCGAAAGAAGTTCGTCGCTTGACCGCTGCTCCACTCCTCAAAAGGAATGTCCACATACGGAGGCCCCATCCAAGGTGGAGAGTTCTGTGCTACTGTTGTTTGCCATGCCGCATCTGACCTAACATCCTGGAAAAAAATCTGGAGAGAACCTGCCGCACACAAGTGACAACACGCAATGTCCCCCCGGTGCCCCACGTTTTGATACGAATGGTTCAAGACTGCAGTTTTAGCATGCGATTCAACATCAGCACGGAGTCCAATCACAGCTATATGCCATGTTTTGTCATGGCCAGCAACAAGCACGCCAGCGGTTGCGCAGTGTGCCATGTCTTCAGCTATGGCTCGAAGAATGGACTTGAGAAGGCCAGCCGTTTTCCTGAATTTCTTGGATGGAAATCCACTCAGCAAGAAGTGACTGAGGTAGGAATTGTTTGCGTTAGTAAGTTTCTGTAGCAAAGGCTCTCGGCAACTTCGATGTTTTGAATAGCAGAAGGTTTGCGGACACTTGGAATTCAGGTTTTTCTTCATATCCAAACCAAGGACAGCAACCAAACTGATCACCTCAAAGGGTTGCTTCTTGACCGTTTCCATCATCCCCGTGCATCATCAAAGGCATTTTCCACGCAAGGTCAAGTTGATGTCCCTGTGCCATCCTAAAGACTTTATGACTCGGATGATCCAACTTGTGTGTTTCACAGAATGTTGAAAGAACTTGATGCGCGCCGGGTCCAACATCCAAGCCACCCAGCAGCAGCCAGGGACTGTTTTGCAGAAGCCTCGACAAAACATTTCGGGGCCTCAAGTACGGCACCACAGCAGTTTGCATATGTATATTCCTTGGGGGAAAGCAGCTGGTGGTCCAAGTATTAGATCTATCTGGGACAGAAGTGGGTTTCAAGGATTTGTATCTAAGGGTGAAATCATAGGGGTATAGTTTTCTTTACATAGATCAAGCAGGAATCTCAAAAGTAGCGAAAACAAAAAGGTCACTGAGGCAAAGCGTTGAGTTCAGAGCCATGTTGAATCCTTTCGCAGCCCTTTTGTACTGCCTAGATGCATTCCTCAGAGATTCAGGAACTTAAGAGAGGCCGTTGGATTTGCATAGATCATTGTTGTTGTTTCAGATCGCGTTCACCTTGCTCGGCCGTGGCAGATTCTGGGTTCAAGTTCGCTCCGTGGTGCCATTCCTAGCTCCATGGTGCGCTCCAACAAACCGAAAGCGGCGGCGCAGCCCATGGCGAGTGCTTGTGGTGGCAGTGAGGCTGCAATGACACCCCTTGCCCAGCTTGTGAGCATGGACCCTGTGCCGCTGGGCGGTGTTGCCGCGATGGGCCGCGTGATTTACATCTTCGGGCACACTGGTAGCAACTTGTAGTCACGTCAGAGGGCGGACACCAATTGAACCCAACACTAGCAGGCGATAGGTTTGGCATATGGACTGGCAATGCTTCTGGGAGTTGATTATCCATGTCAATGCGGTTGGTTGGAATGGCAGGTCTTGTTTGGATTGGCTGAGAGGAGGTAGTCAGGCCCGTTTTGATTGCAGAGTCGTAGCAGACCTGGGTTCTTGCCGCATTGAGGTAGATATCCGCAGAGCAAGATCGTGCTTCGAGGGGAAGGACCTGAGGGGCCCGCAGTGTTGTGCAAATTCAGCCAGCATGTGGACGTAAAGATTGACGAGATCCTTGAGTTGCAGCAGGTCGAGCTCAGACCAACATGGAAGAATGCTGGTGGTGTCAGCCCCGAGTCCATGGTCATAGCAGGATTGGCTGGCAGGGAGCTTGCAGTCAACAACAGCAGGAAAAGGAATCAGGCATCCTTGCAGCACCTTGTTTTAAAGGGGTAGGGTCAGTTGGTGTAATCGTGCATAACAGATAGCAGGATGAATTGGCAAACCCATTGCGACAGCAGCAACACTGCCAAACGTTGGTGGCCAATGGGTTGGTTATGGTGCTTGCTCGACTGGCACCCCTGTTCGGCTGAGGTCAACGATGCAGGTCGTGCGCAACCATCCTGGGGCCTTTGGCAAAGCTGAATTTGACATCATGAGCCTGAAGTATTTGCCCTTGGAGGAATGCTATGTGTGCATTGCTGAAGAGATCGTTGAGGTGGTTGCTATCGCAGGAGAATCCGAGAAGATCCGCAGACAAGTCAGAGTCAAGGAGATTGACACCGACGATGCCACGGAGCGACGCTCGGTTGGCAAAAACACGTGCTTAGGAGAAGGATTTGCATATAGACACAGTTGATTATGTTGGATATTGGTACAATATGAGAGATCATTTGGTGGCAAGAGTGCAGTTGGGGCCTGTAAGACAAAGAGTTGAAAGCACGTATCTCAGGATATACGCTGGTGCTCTTCGGTTCTCACGCCGAGCATTCCTTGCTCCAGACATGGCAGGAAGATCGTGGTGGCGGGGCTGCAGACTCCGAGTTTGTCCGCCTACGCCAAGATGGCGTGCATCTTGCAATATGAGGAGCCTGAACAGGATGAGGAAGGTTGAAGCAAGTGGGAACCGTCCAAACCCAGCGCCTGACCTCGACGTTGATGATGGTAGATGTCAGGGAGCTTGACTGGCGATCATAGCCTGGTTTTGTTTTTTTTCCTTAGCGGCCGGTGCGGGGCAGCAAAGGCAATAGGGCCGTGGTTTTGCACAGAAGTCTCGCGATGAGAGCGAGCTGTTCTCCTATCTGAGTTCCCATCGCAAACACAAGCAATGGAAAACAGGACTAGTCTTCTGGATCAAGCTCCGGGCCCACATGTGTTCCAGACCCACGATCCAGACCTGCGATCCAGACCCCTTTAAAGAAAACGATCCAGATGTTACGATCCAGACCATATGATGAACAACAGAACTGATGTTAAATATAATGTTAAGTAACCTTGCAAGTAGTCAAACATCATTTTCACATGCGCACCATCCCAATCTGCAGGCATACCGCAATGGGTCGAATTGAGGAAAATGCAGTATAGGGCCAGGTTGTTGGTAATTTTTAGTTGTCCGCTTAAGGCATCCATTGGTGCTGATTTATATTGACCTGCGCTCATATTATATTTTGCTTCAGGCCCCCATACGGGAGCCATTTGGCTAAAAGTGTTTTTCCAGGGGGACTTTGCTGGGTCACCATGCCGCCTAAAAAGGCGTTGACATGTTCCCAGATCGTGCGTTTGAGCCAAGTTGCATTGGCTGACACTTGCCAAACATGGGAAGTGAAATGCTCAGCTCATGCTTTGGATTTGGAAATCAGGGCTGCTCTTGCCCGGCGTATGGTAGGAGGAGATGGGATTTGTACCGGGCCGTGTGCCGCAAGCCATGGTTCTCCAGTGAAACAGGTTGTACCTGTAGAAAAGGAACCAGAAAACCCCTTTGAAGAGTATGCTGAGCCGCTGGGCTGTGACATAGTGTAAGATTTCAAGATATTTCAAGCTCGTTCTTTTCTTGTTTGCTTTTTGGCTCCCGTGGCTTGTGAAAGCATCACTAGCTTCTTTCAGTTCGGTTGCTAGTCCAGGCTTGGGCTCTTGTATTGTGAGCTTTGGGTTCCTTGCCAGGACCGTGGATCAGCATGAGGCAAGTCAGCCGGATGAACCTTCCGTGGATGGTGGCGCAGAGCCGCCCAAAGCTGCAAGCCCTCCTGCCCAAGTTGAACCTCAGGATCCCCCAGCGGTCGTAGATTATAACAGGGTTTTAGATGAAGAGAATTTCTAGCTTGCTTGGGGGAAACATGCAAAAACTTGGAAAGGGGATTCGGTTATAGATACAACAAAGAAAAAGATCACGAGGCATAGTGCATGATTCAGTGTGCCCGTAGGAGATGGTGACCCCTCCGCGCTTGGAAGAGCAGCCCGTCTTTGCTTGGACACCTAGTGAGAAGCCAGTGCGCACCATCAAGAAGCAGCCCGGGAACCACACGGGCAAGATGTATGAAACGGCGCAGACCTGCAAGAACTGCAAGGAGCAGAAGGTTTTGGAGTGGAAGCGGGTTAAACCCCCATCTGCCCATGGAGCTCTTTGTGGTTGGTGTCGGCAGCGTCCCTCACATGCATGCGGTTCGTTTTTTTCCTTTGACCCAAACTTTAAAGATGAAGGGCTTTTCCATGTAGCACTCTTTTTTTGTGTGTGGCCATCTGATACCTTCCAGGTTTCGTGTACCATGGCCGAAAACATCTTGGACTCAAAAGGGCAGGCACGCAGGATGACTTTAGCAAAGCCCAGCTCGAAGCCATTGCGGGGGAGAGCAAGGATCTTCGTGCAGAATGGAAAAGCCACGACTTTGAAGCCAGCGACAGGGCTGAGGCCACCAGGAAACGGTTCAAGAAGAAGTGACAGGCGCAACTTTTTGTGGCCACAAAGTCGTGACCATTTGTGGGTCTCACATTCCCGAAGCGAAATGTGCAGTTGGGATCAGATAGACAATGGGGCAACGCGAGAAAAATCTTGCATGACTTGCCCGGCAAACCCTGTCCCATTTTGTTTAAAAGATGTGCTCGTTTCTCCCATGTTTCATCTACCCTGCTCTTTCGTTTGAAGCACTTGCATGTTTGACTGTTCTCTGCTGGTGTTTTTATATGTTGTTTGTTGAGCTGTCCAATCTCAGCTTTGATGCTTTTGAGACTATACTTGCAAGTTCACAAGCGGACGTCTGCAAGTTTATGCTGGCTTTGTTGGGACACGTGGCTGACATTGGCTGACCTTGAAATATGTTGGTCGTTTTGCGAATATGAGTGGTTGGAACCGGCGTAAGACTAGGAATGAAGAGTGTTTTGCGCTCGTGGTTCGTGAAACGCATGTGGTTGAGCAGGGATGGTGTGTCCAGCGCTACAGCACTAGCACGAACTATGAGCAGTTCAGGGAAGAGTGTTTGCATTCGTGGTGTGTGCAACGCTCACTGGCTCAAGGATGGTGTGTCCAGCACTGCAGCACTATGGCGGCTCACTATGAGCAGTTCAGGGAAGAGTGTTTCCACTCGTGGTGTGTGCAATGCTCACTGGCTCAAGGATGGTGTGTCCAGCACTGCAGCACTATGGCTCACTATGAGCAGTTCAGGGAAGAGTGTTTGCACCCATGGTGTGTGCAAGCTCACTGGCTAGCGGAGCCGCCTGTGCTTGAGCAAGGATGGTGTGTCCAGCACTGCAGCACTATGGTTCAGTAAGAGGAGTTCAGGCAAGAGTGGTTTCACTCGTGGTGTGCGCAAAGCGTACTGGCTAGCGGATCCGCTTGTGCCTGTGCAAGGAAGGTGTGTGCCCAGCAGTGGAGAAGAATGTGTTCAGGGAAGACTGTTTAATTGTTGGTGCTTCCTTGTGATCAAGCAAAGATTGTGTGCCAATGTCCATGCACAACCAGTGCCTTGCAAGTTGCTGGTTAACTGATTTGAAAGGGTGCAGTCTTCAACTAGATTAGGTCAGCATTGTGCTAGTTGTCAAAAGACTTTACCTGCCGTCGTTTTTGCCGTTTATTGCGGATGTAGCATTCATGGATGAGGAATGTCGCTTTGATAGCAGGATCATGAATCATGAACAGAGTGAAAGCATTTGTTGCATTCTTCATCAGGCAGAATTTGTGAACATACTAGCTGCATTCCGTTCCAGACCTGGTTCCAGACCGATCCAGACCCGATCCAGACCAAAAGTAGCTACATCCCAGGCATACCCCACGATCACTGCAACCTGCTCATTCGCAGCAATGCCGCCCAAGAAGAAGCAGAAAAGGAAGAGGACCACGGAAGCAAGGAAGCTAGAGAGGCCAAAGAAGGTTCTGAAAGACGCCTTGGTAGCATTCCGGACGGCTGCGGGAAACTCTGAGACTGTGGCTGAAACTCTCTGGGAGCTATTGACTTCTGAGGAGCGAGCAGATTTGTCAGTGCATACGCAGGAAGCATATGATGCAAGTTCCGCAGCTGGCTTAAGCAAAGTGGTGAAGCAGGTTGCGCGCTACGCGGAGGGAACCAGTGATGCATCAAGCGCTGCCCGGCGGGTGCTGGCACAAGCTGGCAAGGATGTCTTTAAGAAGAAGAAGAGAACGGAAAAAGCCCTAGGTTTCAAATTTGGCAGAAAATTGTGGTCCAAAGTGTGCAATAAAGCTGGTGGTCAGAAGCGAGGACGCAAGAGCATTGTCAAGGACCCGTCAAACATACAAAAAGTCCGTGAATTCCTTCTTGCAAACTCGCAGATATCTTCCCACTATCGTAAAATTGGGCATGAGCTGGTCCAATGTCGAGCCCTCACACGCTCAAAAAGCAAGCTGTGGAAATTGAATCAGGGTATGCAGGATTTGATGAGCCTCACGTCGTGGCTGCGGCATTTGAAAGTTGAGCACCCTCAGTTCACAAAGTTCAAAAAGAAAGTGGACATGTGCCCTATTTGCCACAAGTACGACAAGCTGGTCGTGCCACGTGTGAAGCAATATGTGGAAGGCGCTTTCCACCAGGTCAGAGCACTGGACGCGACCTATTTTGAAAATTTGGACAATCACTGGAATTCGTTAGAGGCTGCAGGGAAAACTGACCCTGAAGGCAAGACTGGCTTGCAATTTGTACGAGGCGCAGTCAACTACATTGAGAAGAAAATGGATGCACGAAGACTGAAGACAACACCATCTGGAAAGGGAGTGCGACAGCATTTGAATGCGCTCCGGGAGGCAGAGATTGAGGCATTGAAGAGTTTGAAAAGCACACTTTCTCTTCTAGAGGGCTGCGAGCACCATTTCCATAGCTTCCGGAGGCAACACCACTGCAGGGAGAAGATGGAAGAAGAACTCCCAGGCGACACTCTCCTTTTGCAATTGGATTATGCTGAAAATCTCACTTTGCCAGTAGGCCCTGTGGAGGAGCAGTCATGGTTCTGGGCCACTGCCCGCTTGAGTTTCTCGACTTTAGGTATTTATGCTAGCTACCACAAAGAGGGACGCCAGCAACGTGTTTATTTCCATTACATTTCGCAAATTCTGGATCACACTGCCCTTCATGCTTCAGTGGCGCTCAAAGATTGAATCCAACGACTCGCCTTGCCGGAATCTTGCAAAATCCTGCATATTTGGAGTGACTGCGGGCCGCATTTTAAGGCTTATGCATTTGTGGCTACCGCGGTAGACATTCTCCAAACATGTCCTGCAATTTCTTCGATATATTTCAATTATTTTGGAGAGCACCACGGAAAGGGCCGCAATGATGGCCAATTTGGCCTACAAAGGAAATGGCTCGAATCCTTTGCAGCGCGGAATGTGGTGTCAAATAGGGAGACCTTGCTTCGAGC